GGGGGGGCTAGTTCTTCCCTCTGCAGTAGCAGCACCCCCCAGGGTGCCAATCCTTTTTTTGCTGCCCACCTCTCCCACAGCCAGGGGGCGAGCTGAGAGTTGAACCTAGCAATTTGCAAAATTGCAAACTAAACTACATTCAGATGTAGTTTAGTTTGCAACTATGCAAAGTTATTTAAAACCCCCAAAAGTCTTGCACGTATGCACTGTGACACCATTAAGCCACACAGTGACATTTTTGTCTTGTGTACAATCATGGCATCACATATACAAGCACCCTTATAGCTTCAAAAATAAACCAAAGGAAGACAGTTGTTTCATAAACGCAGCTTGAGTTTATTATCTTTGGAATTATGTTCTAATAAAGCAAAATAAAATTCTCCTACAAATCGCAATGATATTTTGCATTGGTTCAGGTCTTGCATGTGAGGATTTCAAACAAATGAAAAGGAAGTGAGCTAGAGTGAGAAAAAGTGCTAGCAGTGAGAGAATAGAGAGGGAAGGGACCAGCACAAAAGTGTTATCCAGAATTCCTTGTTTGGGGAAAGGCAGCAGTTTGTCCCAGCAGGAAAGCTTGGTACTTGAAGGGTTCCCTGGCACACCAAGACAGCAGTGCCCTGGGGAGCTTGTCAGCAGCATAGCTGCTTTAACATGTGATTGCACTAACCAGCAGTTTACTTCCTTGCTTTTTATGATTTGTATCTGGGGCCATACAATCCAGCAAACTAAACTTAAAGTCTATCTGGTGGGAGGATAAGTGAGTAAAGTCACATTTTGCATGTCCTCCTGTTATTCATTTTTAATCTTGAAAAATCTATTATATGAGATTCATCAGTTTTGGCTTTAGCAGCTCTAAGTAGCTGGGAATTTTAAAATATTTTTGGTGGTAGAAAATTCATCATTGTCATGGAATCATAAAAAGTAAGTCTGGAAGAGACCTCAAAAGATCATCTAGTCCAAAGCCCTGCTCAGTGCAGGATCTTCCCTGTCTAAAACATCACAGAAAAGTGCTTATCTAAATTGCTCTTAAAAGCTTCCAAGGATAGAGAGTCCACAGCCTTTCTCAGTAGGCTGTTCCAATGCCTAACTGCTTTCATAATGAGGAAGTATTTCCTAATATCCAACCTGCAATTTAAGACCTATGCTCCTTCTCCCATCCTTTGCAACTACAGAGAAGAGTCTCTCATTCTCTGTATAACACCATTCAGATGTTTGAAGACTGTTATCTAATTCCACTGGACTTCAGAAAATCAGATGTGATATATTCAGGGAACTGATGGATAGGATCCCCTGGGAGGCCAGTCTGATGGGGAAAGAAGTCCAGGAGAGCTGGCTGTACTTTAAGGAAACCTTACTGACGGTGCAGGAACTAAGCACCCCAATATGTAGGAAGACTAGCAAGTATGGCAGAGGACTAGCTTGCCTTAGCAGGGAACTCTTCAGTGAGCTAAAACACAGAAAAGAAGCTTACGAGAAATGGAAACCTGACAAATGACTAGGGAAGAATATAAGATCATTGCTCAGGTATGCAGGGATGAAATCAGGAAGGCCAAAGTGCAGTCGGAATTGCAGCTTAACAAGGGATGTGAAAGGTAGCAAGAAGGATTTCTACAAGTATGTCAGCAACAAAAGGAAAATCAGTAAAAGTGTGTCCCCCTTACTGAGTGTGGGAGGCAGCCTAGTGATAGATGATGTGGAAAAGGATGAAGTTCTCAATGATTTTTTATCTCAGTCTCCATAGGCAGGGTCAGCTCTCAGGATACTGCACCTGGCATCACAGTTTGGGGTGGAAGTGAGCAGCCAACAGTGATTAACAAACAAGTTAGGGTCTACTTAGAAAGCCTAGACATGTACAAGTTCATGAAGCCAGAACCAGGTGCGGCTGGTGAACTGAGACTGGTCCCCATCTCCCCATGGGAGCGGGGGGATGGATGGGTTTTGCAGCCGGCCAGGAGCGGGGTGGGGTTTACAGCCGGCTGGGGGGAAGGGACAGGGGTGCAGCTGGCCAGGTACTGTGGCCAGTAGCAGGGAGGCTGCAAACCCACCCACTCCCAACTGGCTGCAAACACCCCTGCCCCCCCCCACTGCCAGCTGGCTGCAAACTGGCCCCCCTCTCCCTCACTTCTGTGGGACACTCCATCTGCCCCACCAGTCTGAGTTCATCAGCCACACCTGGACAGATGTGATGCACCCCAAGGGTGCTGAGGGACTTGGCCAATGTGATTGCAGAGCTGTTAGCCATTATCTTTGAAATCTCATGGTGGTTGGGAGAGGTCCTAGATGATTGGAAAAGGGCAAACATAGTGCTCGTCTTTAAGAAGGAGGATCTGGGGAACTACAGACCAGTCAGCCTCACCTCAGCCCCTTGAAAAATCATGGAGCAGGTCCTCAAGGAATCCATTTCTAAGCGTTTGGAGGAGGCAATTAGGAACAGTCAGCATGGATTCACCAAGGGCAAGTCATGCTTGACCAACCTGACTACCTTCTATGTCAAGGTGACTGGCTCTATGGGTGCAGGAAGACTGGTGGATGCAATATACGTTGACTTTAGCAATGCTTTTGATATGGTCTCCCACAACATTCTCTCGAGCAAGCTAAGGAAGTATGGGTTGGCTGAATGGACTGTATGTAAAGTGGATAGCAAACTGGCTGGATCATTGGGCTCAAAGGGTAGTAATCAGGGGCTCTCTGTCTATTTGGCAGCCGGACAGTTTTGTCCAGTACGTTCACCAACAATCTGGTAGGTGGGATGGAGTGCACCCTCAGCAAGTTTGCATATGACACCAAGCTGGGTGGAGTATCAGATAAAATGGAGGGTAGGGGTAGAATTAGGTATGACCTAGACAGATTGGAGGATTGGACCAAAAGAAATGTCAGGAAGTTCAATAAGGGGAAGTACAAAATCCCACACTCAGGACGGAACAATCCCATATGTGGGGCCAGGCTGGGGGCTGATGGGCTAAGCAGCAGCCCTTCAGAAAAGGACCAGGGGTTACAGCTGACAATAAGCTGAATATGAGCCAACAGTGTGCCCTTGTTGCGAACAAAATTAAGTGCATACTGGGATGCATAAGTAGGAGTGTTGCCAGCAAATTGAGGGAAGTGATTATTCCCCTCTATTCAACACTGGTGAGGCCACATCTGGAGTACTGTGTCCAGATAATCTCTAAACTGCTCTCTCACTACAGAAAGGTTGTGTACAAATTGGAGAGTCCAGTGGAGAGCAATGAAAATGGTTAGGGGGATGGGGCACACAACTTATAAGGAGAGGCTGAGGAAACTGAGCTTATTTAGTCTGCAGAAGAGAAGACTGAGGGGGGATTTAATAGCAGCCTTCAACAACCTAAGGGTGGTTCCAAGGAGGATAGATGATTCTTAGTGGTGGTGGATGCCAAAACAAGGAGCAATCATCTCAAGTTGCAGCAACAGAAGTTTAGGTTAAATACTCGGAAAAAATTTCTCACAGGGAGAGTAGTACAGCACTGGAACAGGTTACCTAGAGAGAGTGTGGAAACTCGATCCTTAGAGGTTTTAAGACCCAGCTAGACAAAGCCTTGGCTGGGATGGTATAGTTAGGGATGGTCCTGCTTTGAGCAGGGGGTTGGACTAGATGACCTTCTGAGGTCCTTAATTTTCTAGGATTCTCTGATTATATGAAATAATCCCAGTTTTTCCAACCTTTCCTCTTAAGTCATGTTTCCTAGACCTCTATTAATGTGTATTTTTTCTAATTTGTTCATATCTTGAAGTGTGCCCAAAACTGGACACATTACTCCTGACCTCACCATTGCCAAATAGGGTGGAGGAATCACTCTTGTTAATATTAGCCTGGTATCCTTTTGGCCTTTTTTTGCAACAAGAATACACTGGTGGCTCACTTTCAGTTTGTGGTCCACTATAAACCTGGGGTCCTATTCTGCAGTACTGCAACCTAGCCAGTAGTTCCCCTGCCTGTAGTTGTACATGTAATTCTTCCATCGCATCATCAATGCAAAACTTTGCAGTTATCCTTACTGAATTTTATAGTTGTTTGTACACATGACAGGGGTTTAGTCCCCAGTATTGAAATGGTGGGCTTTTAATTGCGATGATTAAAAACCCACCATTTCAACTTAAGGGCTTCCATCACTATTATGGTGAGGGACCTGATCTTTTTTTTTCTTCCCCCCTGCAAAACCTGCCCACCTCTCCCACAGCTAGGGGTGAGCTCCCGGCAGTGGCGTCCCCTGGGGCCACCTGGGTGGGCTGCTAGTGGGTGGGTGCTGCCTAGGGGGTGCCACCACTGTAAAGGGAAGGTCTGGGGCCCCCTGCAGCTTGGGGTCTGCCAACAGCTCCCCTGCCCTGGCTGCAGGAGAGGTGGGCAGGCTCCACAGCAAAAAACAAAAAAACCCAAAAAGGATCAGGCTCATCGACACTTTTTTTTTTCTTTCCCCTCAACGTAGTCTGCCAGCATGAGCTGCTGCTAAGCTGTACAGCCCCTGAGTTGTAGGGGGGGGCAGTCCTTCCCTTTGCAGCAGCAGCACCTCCTGGGGCCACCTAGGCAGAGTGCTAGCTGCACGGGTGCTGCCCCAGCTAGCAGGCAGCACCCACCAGATCAAATTCTTTACTGAGCCTACACAGGGAGCAGTACCCGGTGGGCTTCCAGTGCATAGACTCAGGGAAGAGTTGCATCTGGTGGGTGCTGCCTGTGAGCTGGGGAAGCACCTACACATCTTGCACCCCACCAGGGTGGCCCCAGGGGGTGCCATCATTTAAATCATAAACCCACCCACATGTGTACAGTGTGATGCAATTAAACTGCAAAAATGGCCAATTTTGATCACATGTACAAGTGTCCTATTTGATTATTTTTGGATCATTTCTCCAGTTTATCACAACCATTTTGAATCCTGATCATATCCTTGAAAATGTTTGCAGCTCCACCCAGCTTGTTGTCATCTGCAGATTTGCTAAGCATGCACTCTGTCCCATTCTTTAAATAAGGCATCAGCAACCCATGGCCTGTTGGCCTGATCTGGCCTGCAAAGGGGTTGGATAGTTGGGGTGTGTGAAGCGGGCTGTATTCAATTTAGATTCAGCATGCTTCGGGGGACAGTGATTCGATTTGGCTGAATCCAAATCTGAAGATTCAGTGCTGATTCAGAGAATCAACAATTCAGCCATAGAAACAGCTTTACATGCTTTTTCTACATACCTCGAGGTACCAGGCATAGCTCATGAACACTGCCATGGTGGGGCAGATGGAGCGTCCCATAGGAGTGCGGCGGGGGGGCCTTCACATGCTCGGCGGTGGACCCAGAAGTGGACCGGATATACTTCTGGTCCACTTCCAGGAATGCCACCGAGCACATGAAGGACCCCCTCCCATGCCCTTCCAGCTCAATGATCAGCCACAAAGGTTGCCCCCCTGAGACCCAGGTGCACCAGTTGCCAAACTGGGGGGTGGGCAGCAGGGGGGTGGTCCCCCACATGCTCCACAGTGGACCCAGAAGTGGACCGGAAGTGCTTCTGATCTACTTCTGGGTCTGCTGCCAAGCGCACTGGACCCCCCCCCCCCACCACCACCACCACCCTCCCATGGGACGTTCCATCCGCCCCTCCATCTCAGCATTCACAAGCCGCCTGGTACCTTGAGGTATGTAGAAAAAACATTTAAAGCTGTGTCTATGTCTGAATCATCGAATCTCTCTGAATCAATTTGGAGGGTTCTGATTCAGTTTGGAGAGATTAACGGGTCTCCTGATTTGATTCAGATTCAGAGATTCAGCCACCGAATAGGGCTGAATCTCGGCCGAATTGAATCAGCTACCAAAGCTTCACACAGCCTTATTGGATAGTACAGCGTGGTCTAGGGAAGCACAGGTGATTGGGAAGCATGCAAGAAAATCAGGTTGATTAGGTATAACCTGCCTTTGGTAAATCCATGCTGGCTGTTCCTGATCACCTTGTTCTCCTCTAGATGCCTAGAAGTAGATTCCTTGATGACATGCTTCATGATCTTTTGAGGTATTGAGGTCAGACTGACCAGTCTGTAATTCTCCAGATTCTCCTCTTCTTCCTTCCTTAAAGATGGGTATGATAGTTGCCCTTTGCCAGTCATCAGGGATCTCACCTGATCTCCCTGGATTCTCAAAGAGAATAGCCAGTGGTTCAAATTACCTCAACCAATTCCTTGTGTACTCTAGGATATTTCCCATGTGGCTCTGATGATCTGAATACATCCAGCTTCCTTAGATTATCTCTAAACTGCTCTTTCACTGCCCTATGCTGCTTATATCCTTTCTTTTCCTTGCTGGCAACTGAGCTTGTCATCTGATTCACTAGGTTCATTAACCTTATTCATGACACTAAAATAAAAAAGGCATAACATATTTAATCAGTGATTAGATTAACCCCCTATTCTAGAAAGGAACCTAGGCTTTCCTTAGCGTTCCTATTACTTCTAACATATATAATGCTCTTTTATTGCCTTTCATGTCCCTTGTTTGTATCTTAATTAATGTCTTGGCCTTTCTTATTTTCTTGCTGCATGTGCATGGCATACTCTCATACACTTCCATAGTAATATGGACACGTTTCTATTTTTTTGTAAGATTTCTTTCTGAGTTTTTCAGCTCATTGAAGGGTTTGCTGTTTAATCAGGAGAGTCTCTTGCTGCACTTCCCAGCCTTTCTTCATGTTGGGATAGTCTGCTTTTATGCCCTTACTGAGACCTTCCTAAGGTACAGCTAGCTCTGTTGGCTTTCTTTTCCCTTCAATCTTGCCTCCCATAGGATTCTTCATACTAGTTCCCTGAGTGTGTTAAAGTCTGATTTTCCACCAGTGTCTTTATGGGACTGCAAAGGCAACTCTGCTGTCCTTCCTTCTTTTCTCAGGATTTTGAACTGTTGTCATTTCATGGTCACTGGAACCTTAGTTCTCTTCCACCTTCCCATTCTTAACCTATTCCTCCCTGTTCGTAAGCAAGAAATTGAGATGACCATCCCCTCTAGTTGGCTTCTCCATTATCTGTGCCAAAATGTTATCTGTGACATACTCCAAGAACTTGCTGGACTGCCTGTGCACTATGTAACTTTCCCGGTGGATGTCATAGTAATTAGACCCCCTTGGCATGTTCCTTACTGTTCTTCCCTCTTACATTGTTCTAGAGGGTCATTCCTTATAATAATGAGGAATGAAAAAAAATCCTCAAAATGTTTGGGCACTTCTTAAATAAAAGTTTTTAAAATATGAGTTAGAGAAAACTTCTATTTTCCCTTCAAATTTCCTTTTCATCTCCCTTCTCCCCTTTCCCCCAAAAAAGTTTTGACAAATGTTCTACCAGGTTTCTTTGTTCTTCAGCTGAAAATCTACTTTTAAATTAGATAAATAAGTGCCTGATGTAAATCATCTTAACCTAGTACAGTAGAATCCAGATTATTCATCTTGGGATGGTTCACAACTGATTTGCTTCACAGAGAGTTCCTGAATGAAGGAGAAATCAAGCAGCTGTTTGCTGTAGCTTTTATTTCAAAGTGCACTGCTTCTCCACTCAGTTGGAGCCCAGCAGTGATCCATGCAGCTGATTGACAAGGCAGGTTCCTTTGAAATAAAAGCCACAGAATATAGCTGGAGTTGCCTTTGCAGTCCCATACAGATGTTTCCTCTGCCTATAATACCCTTTGTTGGTTTCCAAATCTTCATATTTGTAAGAAGTAAGGAGAGTAACTCTGATGTGTATTTTTTGACTGCGGATTCATGACCTTCCAGTACAAATTAGATAATTGAGATGGCTGACAACCTGTGTTAAACTATTTTACAGCTTGGTTTCTTCAAGAGACAGTATGAAAAAATGGCAAGGGATGTAGAAGATGTTGATGAAATTACAGAACTCACAAAGGACAAAGATTGAAGAGGACACTAATGGGGAATACAGGACTAACCACCTGAACCACAAAGAGTGGTTGGAATCCAATCAGTTTTTCAACTGGAGGGTCTTAAAGATGAATAACTATTGAACTTGTTTTTCATGAAAACATTTTAAATTTTTTTTAACGATGGAAATATTTTACAGATGATACTTTATTGTAAAAGCAACTGCAGGTCAGTTTTTCTTTTTCAAAATGATTGATAGTGTTTTCTTATGTATTGTCGTCCTTGCAAAAAAAAATAGCCTTGGGGACTGGCACATCCAGTAACATTGTGCAAGGAATTTTCCTCCTGCTCCATAAAGCAAAATAGATTTCAGATCACTGTTCAGTTCCTAATTTGGTTGGCTGATCAGTGCCGTATATGAATAGGCCTCTGGTAAAATGACTTTTTAAAAATTTAGTTATCTAAAAGATCTAGACAATGAATGCATGATGAATATTGACTTAGGACCAGGGAAACAAAAAAAAATCTCCATTTACCATTGACTAACTACATTCACTTTCTTTTGGAGAAATGGTTGATGTGCCGCAGCAAATCTGAATCTTTTATCTGTAAAGTTACAGGTTGAATGTCTCATAAAATGGGCCTTGTGTCCTGATTTGGCACATGATAATTCCAGTCTGTGCATTATGAACATTTGAATGGGTATGTCACCCCAAAATGTGTCTCTGTTCTTTTCACTAAGATTACAAGAATTAAACTGTGAGAGCGTACTGCACTGGAAAAGTATTTCTAAATGGGACATGCTTCCACCTAGTGTTTCCTTGCACGTATTACCTCTTTTTAAAGAATGAGGAACTGAGCTGGAAAACCTACTGTGACTTGCTCTCCTGTGATACAGCGGGGGTTTCAAATTCTTAACTGGCAAGATGGACCATCAGGACACTGAAATTTGAAACTGAATCTTCATGTTCTATTGTTCACTATCTGAAAAAGGGGAAGAGCCAGAGGCCTCTGAATTTACATGGCTTTCTGTTCTCTGTCCAGAAAGCAAACTGGTAGTGAAACGTTTTACATGGATTCATAACTCTTACTGTCCAACTGACAGTAATGGGGCTACTCAGCTGAGAAGGACATTTATCATCCCACCCTTATTTCAGTAGTGGATAATAGTGCAGGAGTAAGAACATGAAGTGAATTATAGGGGAGAAAACACTAGAACAGGGGTGGGCAAAATGTGGCCGGGGAGCCAGATGCAGCCTGCCAGGCCATTCTATCTGACCCACGGGGCCCCTAAAAAATTTAGAAAATTAATATTTATCTGCCCTGGGTTGCCTGTCATGTGGCCCTCAATGGCTTGCCAAAACTCAGTAAGTGGCCCTCTGCCCAAAATAATTGCCCGCCCTTGCACTAGAAAGTAAGCTGTTAATGAGACTAAAAACAGCTGAAAATATGTTCTCTGTACAATTTTGTACAACACACTTAAGGGTACTTAGATAACACAGTAG